GCGACATACCATATATAGTTGCCCATTTAAAAGATGATCACAAAGTTGATATGCACATGGGAAGCACTTTCAACCATCGCTATGTGAAGTCAAATCCCCATGAAGTGGAAAATGCTACATGGATGCTCACTGTAAGTATGATTGCCCTTCTTCCATTCAGTTCATATTAGTTTGTGGTCTAAGTCTAATAGAAATTAGGCAGCTCTGACAAAAATTTATGATATGTGCTAGATTTGTGTATTGGAGAATGGTAATATTGTGATTTCTTTGCTATGAAGCATGGGCACATAGACTTTAGGTTGTGAGTTTGAGACTGACTAAGTCTTTTTATTTTAGTTTTTTCAGTTGAGATGTTCGAGAGTTCTATTTGACGTCCCTACTTTTTGTTTGTAATGATCGGGGGAAAAATATTACTTTTAAAATAAGTTCAGTTCGTTCATAAAATGAACGAATAAAAATTCCAAACTCCTCTTGGCTTTATTATATAGTGTTTTAAATTGGATGATGAGGAGACTTTCAGCTCTATTTGGAAGTCTCTATTAAGTTTGATGTATTGATAGCGCTTTGAAGGTTTTTGGTGCAATAAGTTTTTGTTGGATTGAGGAATAGTTGATTGATCACTCATGTGCTTAAAACTAAAACGGATAAGATTGACTCAGGATATACTCTTATCCATGAGATGATAAAAATACCAACAGGTGTACCCAAGAGGTTGCACATGAATGAACATATTGGTTCATAAAACAAATGAATAGTTTTTTTCTTTGGGTTAAAGTTACATAGCTAATTATATTTCTAATGACACGATCTTTTATCCAATTCGTGTTAATGCCTCCTTAGTGTTCATAAAATATATTATGTGAGAGTTCTTATTGCTAAGTGGTTATATGATTTACTAATTTTTGGGAAGAGCAAATGGTTAAGGTTGTTAATCCAGTTTAAGAATGCAATGCTGGAACCATATTGTAGTTCCGTGGTCTTATTCTTGAAGCCATAATTTTCCCAACCAATAGTTTTCTTGTTTGTCATATCTGGTGAAAATTTGTCTGTAGTGTTTGTTTTTTATGGGTCACATTATATGGTCAGGATATTTTATACTTTTAGCATATTGTAGCCTTTAATTTTGGAGAAAATAGAATGTGGGAGATGTGGGTAGCAGCTTGGTGGTTTTTTATTTTTTTTATTTTTATGGTTATACTTTTAGTTAACGATTTGCATGATTGTATAAGCTGGAAACCCTTCAATCTTTTGTCTGAAACACTGTATACTCTTATCTCAGTGGTAAGGCATTTGGCTACAGAAATGGATTTGTAATTTGGCTGCCCATTGCAAAATGACTGTTCTTTTGGGGAGCCTTTAGAATCTGGATGATCAAATACTTGGCATCATATTTACAGCAAGGGACATGATAATCTGAACAGATTAGGGGACCTTTTTGTAAATTTTTCTTTTGGGGAGAACCTTAGCCAGGAAAAACTTTGAGCAACCTTCATCTTTGCGCTGCATGCCTTTTGGGGGTCTCTTTCTGGAGTGAGTAGGTACAATAAGTGTACTAGTAATTGGAAGTCAGAATGGGAGAGCATTCATCTTAGGATGAGCTTACTACTTAGATGTTTTCAACAATCATCCGTTCCGCACTTGGCTACCCAGCTAAAGACCCAATGAATTTCCCTATTGGTCCAGGTCATTTTGTGGCAAAACGGATTATTTATGACGAAGAGAATGAGCTTCAGAGAGTGATGCGTAGCTTGTCGGATTATACTCAACTGGTTATATGTTATGATGCAACCTATTTTGTGCACTTCCCTTGTCACTGTGTGGAATCTAACACGGTGGTTTTAGATGATTTTAGCAGATATTATTGCTTAATTTTTGGTCCTATACCTTTTGTGTTTATATCTGAATACGTCATAAATTTTTCTCTTGTAAAATTTTCCTCCAGGTTTTCAGTTGCTTTGGTCAGTACTTCTGTTTACACTTTGAAGCATTTCAACTTGGAATGGCACCAGTTTATATTGCATTTTTACGTTTCATGGGTGATGATGAATCGGCAAAGAACTTTAGCTACAGTCTTGAAGTAGGAGGCAACGGAAGGAAGCTGATTTGGCAAGGGGTACCTAGAAGCATCAGGGACAGTCACCGTAAAGTTCGAGACAGTTTTGATGGCCTCATCATTCAACGTAATATGGCGCTCTTCTTTTCTGGTGGAGACCGGAAAGAGTTGAAGCTTAGAGTTACTGGTAGGATATGGAAAGAACAATGATGTCCATTGTAGCAGGACACTTGTAGTTGTAGTAGTAGTAGTAGTAGTAGTACTGTTTTTGTCCAAGGAGTAGGTTTTATTCATCTAGCAATCAGTGAAGTCTTCTGATCAATGTATTTTCTTGAACAAGGAGCAACCTCTCTTTGCCTTGTCCATGATTAAAATACATAAGTGAGAAGGCCTAGTCAGCTTGTAGAATGTGTCTTGCTGTCTAATGTATTCTACAGTTAAAGATGTGTTCCATGAAGTTCTCTTTATTGCAGAAATCCTGTTTATTCTATTTCAATTAGTTAGTTAACCAAAAGTGGGAATGGTATCAGTGTTGGTTTTGGAGTTTGTGATTCAAAAATGTTAGATTAGGTCTTAGGCCTAACTCACACCCCAAAAGCTAGCTCAAATGGAGGAGGATTGCCCAAGCCTTATAAGGAGTCCACTCATCTCATTAACCACCGATGTGGAACTTTTTGTCATTCTTTAACAAAAAATCAAGAGTAAGGGAGCTATAGCTGGTGCCAAGTATATAAAGCGCAATCTATCTCTAGCATTAACTTCAAACATATTCCTTTAGAAGCAATAATTAAGGCATTGTTGGATCAAAGTAGTAGAAAAAGTGCATTTTTTATCGAATAATAATTATAGGGACATTTTTGAACTAAAGTATTAATGGAGAATATTTTGTTCAATTTTGCATAGTTTAAAATTATTTTTGATTAATTTTCCGTAATTCAATGCGTTGAAAAAATGACTATAAAGGTATAATAGGGTTTAAATAATTGAACAAGTAAAGATGTTCATTCGGTGCAAATCATTAGTATCATTCTTGAACTATTTGCAACTTTAAAATACTCATTTACTTGATTAACTTAAATACATTTCCGATCTTGCAACATTAGTGAAACATACCTCTAAACTCTTAGTTTAAGGGTGTTTCCAACACTTCTCTCAATCTTTTATTATGAGTCTCATGCTACTACAAGCGTTTGAACTCACTAGTTATGTCACGTGTCAGATCAAGTTAGTCAAATAAGAAAATATTTTTTAAGGTTTTTGTCGATAGTTCGAAGACGAACCTAAAAATTTAATGTATTATAATTCTAACCATGCTTATTTGTTATTTGCAGAGAAAAAATTTAGAACTTTTTATTCTTGAATTAAAGTTTTATATTTAGTTTAAACTAAAGACACTTGTCTAATAAGGAAGTAGGAAGATTGGGTCAAATCCACTTCCACGTGATCAAATATTGAATGGAGTAGATTCATTATTCTACTCTCTTTTTTTATTTTTCAAAACAAATTTATTTAGCTGACAATACCAATCTAGTCCCCACATAAACTACTGGCTAAAATTGCAACTGCTTTTTCCCTGCCAAAGATTTGGACCACTTCTGTCTTTTCACTCCAAGCCACATATATTCTGTTTACCATTTTTTTTCCTTTTTCTTTTTTCTTCTTATATAGTATAAAAAACAGATTAAAAAAAAACATGTGTTATTCCTTTTATAGTTTATGCATTATATTATGCTGTCTGAATTTTCTCCAATTCTTTTTTCTGTTACCCTAAAATTAAGCAATTTAGTGAGACTAATTTTGAGTATCTACCAAGTTATGAAACATGTATTTTTCTGTAGAATAACTATTTTATAATCTAATAAAATCAATATAACTTTATTTTATTTAAGGCAAGTTGAGATACAATAAATCATGTAATTAGAGTATAATTCATTTACGAAAAAAGTATTGAGACTATAATTTTATCATCAATTTATAATGGGATAGAGTACATCCTTTTATTGTTTTTAAAGGGATTTTACTTTGTATCAATTTGAATTAATTAATTATAATTAAAGGTCTTGAATAAACTTTACATTATATTTAAATTAATCAAAATTATTGAATTTCTAATATTATTGATTAATATTTAAAAAAATAAAGCTTTTAAAGAGAGAGAAGAAAAAACAAAAGGGTAGGCAGGCAAACAATCAATATGAATTATGAAAGGATATTTGAGATCTATATCATCAAATGAGGATATGAATTTAGATTTAATAGGTCATATTGACGTATGAATTTAGACTTGATACAAATATAAAATATCAGATGAATTTAAATTTAATCACTTCTTAATACAAATAAAATTCGGAAAAAAAAGGTAAAAAGAATAGTGAAAAAACTATGTCATAAAAACTCACACCACAAATTTTTTAATTTTTTAATTTTTTTTCAATCTATCTCCGACATTCACATTGAAGTCCGACTAAATTTTGATTCGCGCCTGACAAGTAAACAACAACAGTTACAAACACAGAATAAAGCGCTCTCTCTCTCTCTCTCTCTAGAGAAGGAAATTCAACAGAAAACACCAGAAATTAAAGCTGCTTATTGGTTTTCTATACACGAAGCTCTTCCCGAAAGGTAATTTTTCGTCTTCATCTATTCAAAAACCTACTCATAAAGTGGAATTTGGAATCGAAATTGAGAAATTGAGCTTCGTTATTTGTGTATTTTGCATGTGTAAAATATCATATTTGAGCTGTTTCACTATTCAGTTGCCTGTTTGCGTTGAATTCGATGTACGCCTTTTATTTGGATTTGATTCTTTTAATTTATTATTTTTTTGATGAAATTGAGTTTAGATGCTGAAAAGGTTGAGATGTAATACGCTGAATTCGTTAACTCATTGTATGATTAATTGAATTTCATTTAGATTTACATATTTTTGCAGAAAGGAATGGAAAATTGGATTTGAGCTTGGCAATTTCTGTTATTTGTTGTTTCCCTAATAATTAAAACTTTTTTCGTTACATAGTTAATTGAGTTTTGAACTGGAATGTGTGAAAAATCATATAATTTTAAGGCTTTTTTGTAGTTTGAAAGATGAAAAATATGAAGTGGGATGTATCTGAATTAATTTTACAAGTAATTTGGCTTTGTGGCATGGATATTTGAAGGAAATGGTTTTATGTGTAGAAATGTTGAGACATGACAATCAAAGAAGTCTGATCATTATATCTGAAGGTTGAATTTAAGTTTTGTAGTATGATTTATTTTTGCTCCTGGATGTATATTTTGTGGTATAGAGTGTGCTGTTATTTTGCTGATCCATCTTTTGTTAACTGCATAGGTTTGTTACTTTGGAGATTCTGTGGCAAGCAGCGGCATGACGTCCTCGCTTCATTATCATTCAGGTTATTTTATGGGGGTTTAGTATACTATTTTGTTGGCGGTATAGATTTGTTTCTCGAGTCCTTCACTATGTTGTGTTGATTGTGAAGTAAGCTTGATTCACATGTCTTTCATTACTAAATGATGTCTGTAGCCTTGCTCTTCTACACAAATAGTATGATACAAACCCTTCATCTCCTGCTAGTACAATCTGGCACATTTTTTTGTGTGATTCCTCCAGTTTTATGATATGAAGCACATTCATGACATCAAAAGTGCTGCTTGAGAATTTTTCCATACTATTGTGGAAGATTGTTTTTTTAAATAAGTGTTGTGAGAGATTATTAAGAAGATAAAGGCAGTTGGAAGAATTCTATTCTGCTTGCATCCTTCAGCTAATTTGGATGAAAGAAATAGGAGAATATTCTAGAATAGCAAAAGATGTAAAAAATATATACAAGATAATTCATTTGTTGTATAGCGAAGAATCCGGTTATGTATAGGTAGTCAAGATTCAGGAGTAATTGTTTGATGACACTGGTTGAACTGATTATCTTTTAATACATTCTTTTGATGCCTTCATTGTGTAGTTTAGACTTATCAAAATGAGTTGGACTTATCATGATAGAAGAAAATAAATTATTGTCTGCATATGCTTTGTTTCACATTCAATTTGTTAAGAACCACAGTAAACTCAGACAAAAGCAGTAGGAATTTAAAGTGAATTGGATATGTATTTTTGGTTACATGAACAAAAGGTTCTAATGCCTATGTTAATGCAATAAATTTTCAGATGGTAGTGAGAATGAACAGTCAGAAAATCAATCAGAGGCTCACAGCGAGTCTTCATCCCCTGCAGCTGGAATGTCTGTCCCTGGCACTGTAACACCAAATATGCACTATGTTATGCCCAATCAGCATGGCAATGGAAATTCTATGGTATATTTGATGCACCAATTAACTTCTACCGCCAGATTTCTGGAAAATCACTATTAAGTCCTGAATTGATTTCTTCTACTTGATAGTTATTCTTGCTGACAGACGCAACCCCCTCTTGTTCTTTCGATCAGATGTTATCCTATAACTGCTGTCATGAATCAATTAGGGGTCTCGTCAGACGTCAAATAGGTTATAAATATCTCAAGGATTAACTGATTGTAATAGGCATGTCGATATATTGACGATGGTTCTGTGAGTATTATCGTTTTGCACTTGTTAATAGGCTTCTTTATTTTGTGAGATGAAGTGCACATGTTCATATTTGGTCATAATAAAATAAGAGTGTGATATCGTTCTGATCTTCATTAGCAGAGACGCCACTTTGACACTTGTAACAGCCAATAGGAAACCGCGTATATTTCCTGCCCAAATAGTTGGTTGTGCAAAAGCCTGGAAGCCAAGTTGATAATAAATATCTTAATGTGGGGCATAATGGAGCTATGACTGTGCTTATGGATTCTTGTATCTAGAGATAAATTCATATGATGCAAAAGATATTATTTTAGACATATGAATGAATAGTCGGATGTTTCACGCGAACCTATAAATTGAAGAAAGTTGCGTATTAGATAGCATTGCAGAATACATTGGTGTCGTTCAGACTATTTGAGAAAGCAATAGGTGAGTATGAACCTAAGAAAAGGATATTAATGCATCAAGTGTCTTTAGTATTCCAAATGTATTCAGTAGTAGGATGGAAATATTTCTACTTATAGATTGTCATGTTGATACCTGGCTGATATAATAAGGGTTGATAGTCTCTGACGACTGACGAGGAATAAGAAAATTTGTATAATTCTTGAAGATAGGGAATGACCTTTTTGTGCTTATATATGAAATTGCTTTTGATTATTTGATGACTTTCTCTTGATAAGAGTTAGAAGTTAGAACCACTAATAAGAACATTCAGTTGCAAGAAGAAACACAGGTACCTGTGTAGTGTGTGCTTATGCAAATAGCATAAAGTTTTTGAATGGTGATGTTGTAACATTAAGAATACATATTTCATGACTTCTCGATATTTACGATCCATCATGGTTGGGTTTGTCAATCATAACTGAAGACCTTGTGATGGAGTTTGATTTTCCATTTTGGGCTTGTTTTCTGGTATTTTCATTGGTCTTGTAAATCAGGTATGGTTGGGTTAGACACAAACACTTTAATTATAATCTCTCATTTCTGTTTTAAGTAACATCCGGTTTTACAAGCTTGTGTTATTTTGTAACTAATTCTCTAGGCATTGCTTCGTTTTCAGATTGCTCGATCTGTTTGTCACTCTCTACAACTACACTTGCCACAATTTGGCTAAAATTTTCTTGTAGGTCTACTGGCCTAGAGTTTCATTTAAGGTAAGTCTTTGTCCTATAGGAGGGATACACTAGCAGAATTCTTTGTACACCATAGATAAGATGATCTGAATCAAGTAGACTCTTTATGCGGCAGCTTGAAGTATAGAGTTAGTTATATAGTAAACACTTGTTTAAATGCAAACCTTTTAAATTTTGCCATCTTTTCAGCTTTGTGAATGAAATTTTGTGCTACAATTGTTTCCAACAGTTGTTGAAAATCCGTTGTTCCCTATTTGGACCGCTGCATAAAGATTTTCCTGGATTATCCTGGAGCCAGATGTTTTATCTCCCTCCCTCGCTTCATTTGGCACACATAATAACCTGCAATCTTAAGTATTCTTAGTAGGACACTCATTTTTATTGGACAGTCTTAAACTAGAGGCTTCTGATAGAGATTGCAGATCTTTAAGGTACCAGTTGGGGAATATTTGAAGCCTGTTTCTATGCCTACTAATTTTATTTTTACGCTCTGGTGATTGGTTATATTGAGTCTATTTTTCTGATAATAAATCTGCATCGATTTTTCATTAGTTGCAGGCTCAAACAGCTTATCCATACCCAGACCCATACTATAGGAGCATCTTTGCACCGTACGATGCACAGCCTTATCCTCCACAACCTTATCCAGCACAACCAATGGTATTACATTTTCATAACACTTCTCATTTGGACTTCATCTATGAAATATCCCTATGAATTTGAGAGCTTAGTTGTGTCATTTTCTGTCAGGTTCACGTTCAGCTAATGGGAATTCAACAAGCGGGTGTTCCTTTGCCATCAGATGCGATAGACGAACCTGTTTTTGTTAATGCAAAACAGTATCATGGCATCTTGAGGCGTCGACAATCTCGCGCGAAAGCTGAGTCAGAAAAGAAACTTCTGAAAGCTAGGAAGGTATTTTGTCGAAAAATGTTTTTGTCTTGTTATTTCTTATACTATGTTGCTTCAGTATCCAATATCACAATTTACAGGCAACCTTGACAGCTTGTTTGTGGTTCATCTGTTGATTTATCACTTCCCACTGTTAAGTGTTAAATAGCCTTCCAGATGATTCATGTTTGTGATGCACATATTTTAAGTGTCTGCACATTTCTAGTGCTATTTTAAACACATACAGGGGTCGCTTGGTTCACTTACTAGTTATGTTAGAATTATATATATGAAGTATTATGCCATTAATAATAGATAGGGATTATTATGCAGTGAATAATGACGCGAGGGTTGTTACACATCAAAAAATAAAACAGGGATTCTTATTCAGGGATATCTACTATGAGAGCATCTTTTTCTATATACTTTTTGGTAGACCAATATTTGCATTCTATCCCACATAAAATAATACATAGATTTCTGCATAAGTTAGGCCGATATTAGTAGTGCACACTTTAATTCTGGAAATATAAATGCACTTTAGTAATGTAGAGTTCTATGTTGCAATCATATTTGTTACGCAGAATTTTATATCATGATTGGGTTTCCTTATGAGTCCCAACCTAACAACAAAACCATAAAATTTCCTTTACTAATAATATATATACTGCAAGTGAAGTGTGGATAGCAGAGCATGAAAGAGACAGTAGAGCAAGTTCTCAAATGTATATTTTTTCTGGACTGTAACGTTAATCTCCTCTATTTACAGTTGCTACGCGTAAAAATCTAAATAATTACTAGTTTACCATATTAGTTTCACATTACATTGTACAAAGGTTCTGATGCAACAAAAGCTCTTAATTCTAGAACATCTATATTCTATATTATTGATCAATTGCCCATCAAAGTTTAGATTGCTCTGATCTTTGGGAAACATAATTTAGATGTATTTTTCAAAAATAAAATAAAATATTGTTGCTGGGGAACAGAGTGATTCCGTTCCCGGTTCGTAATTAAGGATCTTTCTCCAAGCAAAAAAATCCATTTTCTCTATGATTAATATGTGTATGTCGAAAGTTATGGGTTCTGATCAATAATATCTTTTACTCCCAAATAAATAGCTCAAAGATGGTTATCAACTGTGCTGGAAACAGCTGCAAGATCCAATAGCATACAGTTGGTAATAAGGTGCCTTACACCATGATTAGAAGTTCTAATATCTGTTTCTGAGGCTATGTTTTTCCAGCACCAATACCTTGGGAGGCTCACAGTGCAAAATAATCTTGCAGCCTTACTTGCATGAATCACGCCATTTGCATGCATTGAAAAGAGCTAGAGGATGTGGGGGTCGTTTCCTGACAGCGAAGGAAACTGATAATCAGCAGAAACTGGATGAATCTGGTGATAAATCACACGTCAACTTTAATCTCGAGTCTGGAAAAGACAAGGTTGCTTCTTCAGAGAATGCCTCTTGATTTATGAAATATCAAGGACTTTGTGGACCATAGTATGTTGTTGCTGTTTGTAGAAACAGCAATGCTTTTGTCAAAGTAGAACTGTGGTAGCTGGGCAAAATCAGGGTAATTGTGACGTTCTGTATGTTTTATCTCAGTGTAGATAGTTCAGAATAGGCTACTTGTACAAAGTGGTCGATGGGAATATATCTCTAAATGCTGTATTTCTGAGCTTGTTTGTGGACGTCCTTTCTTGTCCTTTTGTAATTACCTTGTGATTCCTTCAAATGTTGTTATGGTAAGTGTACGAAATATCGAGTCTGAAATTTGAGTTATAACGTTTGACATTATGGGTGTGTTTGGTATGAAGGAAAATGTTTTCCTAGAAAATGTTTTCTTGGAAAATAAGTTGATTTTTGACTTATTTTCTCATGTTTGGTTGGTGAGTAGAAAATATTTTTCGATTTTTTTTTTTAGTGTTTGATTTATGAATGAAAAATGTTTTTGAAAAATTTCTTTTATTTTTACTAGAGTAGAAAAATATTGTTGAAATTGAAAATATTTTTTAAAAACAAACTTTTTTTTTTTTGGGGTGGGGGCTGGTAGGGGGTGCGGGGTGGGGGGGTCGAGGGTGGGGGTGAAAAATTGAAATTTTGAAGTTAAAAATATTTTTTAAAAACAAACTTAAATTTTTTTTTGGGGGGTGGGGGGGTCGAGGGTAAGGGTGGAAAAAATGAAATTTTGAAGTCAAAAATATTTTTTAAAAACAAACTTAAATTTTTTTTTGGGGTGGGGGGCTGGTAGGAGGGGTGGGTGGGGGTGGGGGGTGAGGGTAGGAGGTGGGGGGTGTAAAAAAATAAAAAATTGAAATTAGAAATATCTTTTAAAAACAACTTTTAATATTTTTTTGGGAGGGATGGTGGTAGGGGGTGGGGGTAGGGGTGAGGGTGGGGTACAAATATTGAATTTTAAAACAAACTTAAATTTTTTTATTTTTTTGGGGGTGGTTGGGGGGCTGGTTTGAGGGTAGGGACCAAATAAATTGATTTTCTCAACAATTTTTTTTTAATTGGAAGTTGGAAGAGAGTTTTGGAAAATGTTTTCCTTAAGTTTTGAAGGGAAGTCATTTTCCTTAAATTTGAGGAAAATGAGTTGATTTGGAAAACATTTTCCAAAACATTTAACCCAACCAAACATGAGAAAATTGGAAAATGTTTTCCTTCATACCAAACACACCCTATGTTTGGTTAGTTTAGGAAGATGAGCGTGTAGAACTGCTGGTTGATGGATTCCAATTTTCGAAGGTCAATGCATTCTGTGTCAATATCTCAGTTATAAGAAAGGTATCCACTGCGATTATTGATTCTTATGTCTTGCAAAGCAGCAGCCAGCAGGTCTTATATTCGTATCCTTTTGTATTTACTTCTAGATATTCCTTCACTGTGGATCTTGTAAAAAAGAAAAAGTTAAAATGTCAAGTGAGAAATTAGTGTTGGTTTAGAAGTTTATATCTACTGTGTTACTAATCAGAACTTCTCCATTAATTGCTCGGTGTAGAAATTCAAAAAAGCTTGTCAGTGGTATAACTTATATCAAAAATAACAAGAGAGTTGATAAAATATGGTATGGTTGAATCACGACCTTCCTTAACGTACAATTCTATAAAGAAACGTTTGCTTATTATTATCTACAGGTTCAAAACAAACTACTTTCATGCAGATTATTAAAGTATATGTGAAAGTTGTAAAAAATATTAATATACAAAAACTATAGTTTAAAAAAGTACAATGAATTGAGTGTTAAAATTTTATCTTGTATAAAGTTGAACCCATCCACAACTACACCGGTATTGCAAATAAATATTACTAGGAAATATGAAACAAATATTGTAAGATATAGAAATAACTCAATGGACAATTCATAAACCTTATACTAGAGGCAAGAATGATTTCAGCAAAAGATAGCATAATTTCAGAAGTACCAAGAATTCAATGAGTAACAAATCTTCAACTCATAGCACAAAATTGTCTTGACATAGAATTTCAAACAAAATGAAGGCTAATTAAACAACAAAGTCTAAATATTAAAGCCTTAGGTGTTGGTAGCCCGGGTGTAAATCTGCTGGCTAGCATGAGCAGACACCATCCTGATCAAACCTTTAGCCATCAATTCCCTAATTGCCTTCCTGGCAAGGGATCCACTAATCTGCAAATTCAATCAAAATGAACTAATATTAGCATTAAGAATATCTGCATATGGAAAATGCATCTGCAACAAACCACTCTACAATAAGCAACAACACCACTGCATTACAGCACAAGCTGAAATATGGATTACCAAACGTATGGTTCCCACATGAGTATTATAGAGAACCAACTACAGAGCTTGGATTTACATTTCAAAAAATTAGTGTAAGGTAAAGCTTTTCCAGTCAGTAATTAGCATTGGGTGTCTTCCAAGAAGAAAATATCAAACATGAATTCATGAAAAACTTGGACCAAGGGAAACAACAGAAATGCATTCATAAAGAAAGTTGTTGTCATTTCAGCAGTAAGCATTGCATGTAGTGCTCTAGTTTTAACACAACATAGTTGATTTGTTTGTTTTTCAAAACAAAACAAAAGTAATGTTTGGTTTGAAAATCAAATTGGTTGAGGAAAACACATTCAAAATTGTGAGAGACTATAATGGGTATGTTGTTATAAGAGAACTATGTGTTCATTCACTTTTCAAACCAAACATCTAGTTAATAAACCAAAATTTCTACATTTAACAAAATCAGTCATGTTGTTCTCAGAATAGAAGGTCCACCACCCAAATAATATCTTTGAATTCTATTTGTTTGGCTCCTCAAATTTTAGAATCTATATCTTGATCCCATTCTTTTCACTTTTAAGAAAATGATTTCATAAACAAGTAACTTTGAAAATGATTAATCAACTTGAAACAATCAAATTTCACCCCATAAAAGTTTGGTTTTTCCAAAGGACAACCAAACAATTCCACAAAAACAAACTATCAAAACCAGTTATCCCACATCCAAATTGGAGTACGCATACTATGTTTCAAAGGACTTGTGCTAAAATTCAACTAGAACTAAATCATTAGACTAATACACAAGTATTTAGAAAATCTATAACACCACAGTTCACTAGCTATGCTTTATAATTGAGTTAGTTTATAAACAGAGTAGAATCATTCGACAAGTTACAATTGATTAATTCGTTCTTGTAAGCAAAAAAATATTCACATTGAACAAAACACACTTGATATTCAATACATAACAACTAGATCCATACTTAAAGAATATACATACCCTCAAACGGTCAGAGAGGACGGAAGGGGTGATAAGCTTGTACTTGGGTGCTTCAGTGATGAGCTTGTCGTAAGTACCCTTATCGAATAAAACCATGTTGTTCACCTTCTCCTTTTGCTTTCCCTTGCTCCACTTCTGCAATTCCACATTCAAAACCCAGCATTAAAAACTCAAACTTTCCCTAGTTACAAACAACACAAATAAACAAATCATTAAAACAAGAGAAATAGGTATGACCTTCTTCTTCTGCTTGCCACCACCGGACTTGGCGGGCTTGGAAGACGGTGGAGGAGCCTTTTCCTTCTTAGGTGCCTGCAAACGAAAATCAAACACATCAGGCATTTAATGCTCAAAATACATACAACACTAATCACACCAGTAGCAGAGAAGCTTACCATTATCGCCGGAAGTTCTAGGGGTAAGGGGGTGGGGAGTGACGGAGGCTAGGGCAACAGAAGAAGGAACTGGAATGAAGAGAAAGGCGCTATTTCTAAACCTAAATTTAGGGATTCTAGGGTTTTTATTGGATCAGTTCGTATGGGCTTAATTTATTCTGGGCCGTATGGGCTTCACTCATCCGGCCGAAGGGCATGGATATTTTCGGGATCACTATTTAAGTCATACTTGTTGACTGTTGAGTATATTCAAGTCGAAATTATTTGTGTAAGATTATTAATCTTTAACTTCGGACTAAATATCTCAAATTTCATAAACATATGATTAAAGTTCATAAATAGTTGAATTCAACTGTTTTTCATCCTAAGCTTCAGCCATTTATGCTTGAAGTTCACCATATGTAGTTAGACTTGTCAAATCCTCACTCCAAACATCGCATATCTGAAGTTATTTTGAAGTGGATAGCCAAATAAAAATATTCAAATGGTGATATAGATTAAATAACGGTGTCCAAATAAAGTATTCCTAATACTTTTAACAATCATCAAAGTTCCATTGAGCCCATATTATTTGAAAATGCTTACTCGCTATTAGGGGTGTACATGGTTGGGTTGGTTCGGGTTTTTCAAATATCAAATCAAATCATTTGTGTTGGATTTTTGAATTTATAAACCAAATCAATAAAACTCGGGTTTTTCAACCTCAGATTTTTTTGGGTTTTTCAAATTTTCGAGTTTTTTCGGTAAAGTATTCGTACAAACATATAATGTACTTGTACTCCAAATATTTATTTAGTCCTATCAAAATACAACTATCTAAGGGCCCGTTTGGCCATGGATTTCTCAAATAATATTTGGGGAAAAATTTGACAAATAATGTTTGTCCATACAATTTGTTATTATTTGGCAAATATCCCAAATTCTCAAATGAGAAAAGGGTCAAATGCCCCCTCAAGCTTCAGTCATATTTCCAACTACACACTTAACCTTTGCGGGAGTCCTATTACCCCCTAAACCTTTTTTTTTAAAATATTAGTTCACCCTCAAACGTTGATGTGTCCACATACGTGAACTTACCTCCGTGAGGCGCGTTAAGAACGTAATAAAATGTCCATGTGGAGTCCAAATAAGCCTCCCAACAGTAACTTTACTCTTTATTTAACCATACATTTATTTTTTATTCTTTTCCCAATTCATTTATCTCCATCTCTTTTGTTTTTGAACAAAAGCTCTCTTCTTTGTTCTTCATCCACCATTTTCAAAGCTTGAATTTAGTTGTTGTATCTTCTCTAACTAAGATTGAATTTAGAGTTTGCAATTTTCTCGAATTTCATATTGAACAATCGAAATCTTCCTCAATTCAACAACTTGATTTTTTTCTTCACTTTGTGTTATTAGGGTTAGTAAGTAAAGATCTAACATTTTCTCAGAAGAAATAGTAAGTAAGCTTTCCGAGCAACGTCGGTAATGGAAGATCGTAGAGAAAAGGAAGAAGAACTAGAGATTAGATTAGAAAGAAGATCGTAGAGATTAGATTAGGAAGAAGAATGAGGGTCAATTAGGTTCATAAAAGGTAAAGGTAAAGTTTTGTGACACGTGTCAATTTGTGAGTCGTGTAAATTCA